CCCGAATGTATGTAGCTCACATATATCATAGCTAAAGTGAAAGGTTGTCATGCGTTTTTCTCAGGTTTTGCACCTGCACTCACGTATCTATCGTTTTTTGCAGACTCAGACTGCTTGGAAATCCCCACGCCACACATGTCCTCATTGCTCTCTTGTATCATGTCTGACGGAATGCTATGTACGTTTGCTGCTTCGCACGGTCTACTTCGCTCATTGTGTCACATGTCATATAATTTGTCTTCTTGCTTGGCAGGCTATACTTTGCATCCCCCAATTTCATCTCCCTGTTCTCTTATTGTATCATGATTCATGACGCACGTCATTTCATGTAGGCTCCTCTGGTGCTCCAGCTGTGTTCTGGATGATGCTGTTACTTTTTCTGCTCTGTTGCAGTCTTTCCTCTTGACGCAAAAGGTAATCCGCATCTTGGGACCATTGGCTGAAAAGGCCGGCGGAACAACCCGCAGGGTGTAAATAGCTTCTTGTTCCTAGTAGTAAGGCCAGGAGCCCCTAGTAGCGTCCTTGCTCCTAGTAGTAAGGCCAGGAGCCCGTAGCTTCGTGTTCTGTACGCTCCTCTCTTGTGTAGACCAATCCAGGAAGAGTGTTCTGTGCTTCATCTGTCTACAACACTGGTCCCTCTGAGATGTTGAGAACCAAACACAACACATCTCAACGATTCCATCGAGCTATGGCTTTCGCATCGACCTCGAAGCGAAGCTCAGCCGAAGCTCGCCTCGCGCGGGCTCAGAGGGTCCAGGTTGAGGTGTGCTCGCAGAGCCCAAGGCGGCACCAGGTACATCGTCTCCACCTCCTCATCCTGAACATGCTGCGTTAAAAGCAGACCATCCTAGCCATCCTTGCCCTTTCTTCATTCCTAGCCCTTTCTTCATTCCTAGCCCTTTCTTCAAACCGACACATCGGCACCTTCAAGAAGGCATCAAGCCCACCACATTCGTCGGATTCCTCGGGCATCAAGCCCACCGCGCCTCGATGACCGCGCTGAGCTCCGTGGCCGACTCCGGGAGCTCCGTCGCCGACGCGTGGAGCGGGTCACCGTGGGAGCCTCGGGGTCACCGGTCCGTCTCGAGCGGGTCCCGTCTGCGTCCCAGCTGGCCGGAGTGGAGGACATGTTTCCGGGGGTTCTGTGTGAATCTCATCTCTTTTGGGCGTGTTCCTTTCGTGACTTGGACCTGGATTTGCTTGCCAGAGCTTCTGCTCAACACAGTAATTCTATGTTCTTGGTTTTAACTCTGTGAGTTGCAGACTTCTCTCGAACTCATCAGCCCAAGAATCCCTTGGTGACCACGATACTTGTTCTTTCTCTAAGTTTCCCTCTTAAGAGCCTTGTCTTGTTACACAGACCCATCAAAATCAGGCCACTCTCCAGTTTCCCCTATCCCCAACCTCCAAGACTTGCCCCAGCAGCCCTCTTCTCTGCCAAGCCACCCACCTCCGCTGCCTCCGCAGCCTCTTCCGCCGCCGTGGGCAGCGCCTCGGGCGCCTCCGCAGGCTCCACGGCGCCCTGAGACTCCTCCGCCGGGAACTCCGGGGGGTCCTGGGGCGAAAGCCAAAAGCGGCAGGGGTGACATGAAGACACGAACGAGACAAGAACCTGATATCGCTAAATAGACAAGAACGGAAGCGTTTCTCTATCAACAGCACGAAAACACAAGACCCGCCTGCAAGTCGTCATCCTTCAAGCCAAAGCCCTGACGGGACGGGAGAGCAGAAGATGATCGCTGGATTCTGAATGATTCCAAGGAACTTCAGTTGTAGGATGTGATGAACTGTTCAACGGCAAGAATCATCTCATTCATCCTTCGATCTCTAAAGTTACTGAGATTTCCTCGAACACCCTCGAACACTCCCATCCATACCTCCCTCTGCCTTCTCCTCAGTGTCATGTGGAGTGTCCCAGGGACTCTTGCCTGGCATGAATTCGAAGCACAGAAACCCGGTCGTGGAACCAGTGGAACCCGAACATGTCCAAAACCTGTTCCCAAGGGGATGGAACTGGCCATGTCGGGGATGTCTTTGTGAGATGTTGTCTCTCTCAATCAAAACGGACAAGACTGCGATCTCTTCGCTTTCGAAGCACTTACGCGGCTTTCGCCGCGTTCAGCTGCTTTCGAGCCACGAAGCGATCAGTCGGATGTGGGTTCCACAATTCGCAACAATCGATGGGAATGACAAGAGACACTTGCACCCTGTAGTTCAGCTACTGAGCGATGGCCTCCAACCTAATAGCAAGAGGAACCTAATGGCGATGGCCTCCAACCTAATCAGCTACTTAGTTTGGAAAATGTATTAAGTCTCATGAACCTCGGACGTTTGTCAGACTTGAGAGTCTGTGTGTGTGGAACCCTTGGAGTCACAAGGGACCTGCTGGTTTCTTCACTGTAATTGTTCACTTTAACGCAGAGGGACAGAGCTCTCTGATGCTACTCTGTCCAATGACTTCCAATGAAGCTATGCATCAGAGAGGGAAGCATCCCCTCACCATGGATGTGTACCTGCGTCTATGTTGTTGTTTACCTTTTTTCTTAGAACCGGATGCCTTTTGCTTTTGTCTTTTCAACTTACCTAGAGCGATTCATCTGTCTCGCTCACCTTTTGGTACTACCTTTACTTCTACCTACTGCATTGGTTGCTTGTCAGTCACAAATTGGACAGATGCAGTTGCCTGTTTCTTGAGCTTTGTAGGCAGTTTGCGTTGAGTTCTGTATGCAACCAACCTACTAGCGATGGCCTCCAACCTGTTGCGATGACCTCCCACCTAGATGCGATGGCCTCTAACCTAGATGTGATGGCCTCCAACCTGTTCTTCTTGTTTTACCTGGTCTCTTAGGTTTTTTAACCTAGGCCAAGTCCGTACACATCGTCCCAAGTGTGTGGCATTTGGCACGGAAGCTGGGCACTAGAGCTAGAGCTGGGCTTGCACGAAGCATCACAGAATGGACCGCCATACGCGATGCTTGGCACATCAACAAAGCCAACACGGTGCCAAGACGTCGAACCTTCTGCCATGATATGTCCGGTCCGTCCGCCTTCCTTGAAGCTCATCCCTCTCCACATTTGCCACAACTCTCGGGCTGAAGAAGGCGCCTTTGCCGGAAACTTGATGTTTTGAGTCTTTCCTCATGTAGAAATTCCCACCACTTGAAGCAATCTAGTAACTAGAAGCCACGCCTAGTAGATCTGTATGGCATGAGGTTCAAGGCCGAAAGAAAACAAACAACATTTCGACATGTCGTGTTTGCACACGTCTCCGCCCTTTCATTCCAAAACAAATCACCTGCAAATCTTTGTCAGCTGCCTACCAAAGATCTTGTCCGGCATTCTGTTCGGTCTGAATCTGCCAGTAACATGTCTCACATGTCTCCGGTCCAATCCTGTGGGTTGAAGCTAATGGAGCCCAGTGGAAGTTCACTGGCACGCAAAGAACCTGTCGTGCGGTTTACCGCGGTGGCGGCGTGGGAGCGGAGCGGAAGGCTTCCGGTGGGAGCCGGAAGCGGAACGCTTCCGGTCAGCGGTTCGAGGTCTTTGTGAAATGGCTTCTGCAATTCTACAGGACAAACGTCCATCCAAAAACCAAGTTCTTCATAGAAGGCCCACAAATAAAGACCAAGGGAATTAAGGAAAAGGCGCAACAAGCGTCCGTCGCTTTTCTATGTGGTTTTTTTTATGTTTTCCTTGGATGTCCTCAATGTCCTCCTTCCGGTTCCTTCCGCACCTGACGTCATCGACTCGGCCGGCTCTGACTGCCGGTGCGTGACCAAGATGCCCTCCGCGTCAGTGTCTTCACTCTCCGGCCGCGCCGACGCTGCCGGGCCAGGGAGGCTCTCAGCGACGTCCTGGAGAGCGAGACGAGGTCACGCGGTCGCGACGGTCACGGGTGTGTCTTCCCACGACATCCAAAGCACCGCACATGTCGGTCGTTTCTTTTTGTCTCGCGCATCTGATCCAAATGTCCACTCTCTCCCAGTCGAATCCAAAAACGACTCAAAAATATCGTGAACACCTGGCGTTTTGGCTGCACCTCTAGATGCCCCCTCTTTTCCCTCTTCTTCACCTCCCCGTCACCTCTCTCCCGTCTCGTCACCCTCCTGGGACACTTGCCGAAAGCGCCCCGGGGAGATCTGTCGCAACATCGGGCTCAGCTGCCGCACGAAGCCCGCGGAGAAGGCGCGGCCAAACCTCCCGCGGTGCCCGCTGCTGATGGCGCGGAAGAAGTCTTCATCCACCAAGGGTAGCGACATCGAGGAATCCTCCAGAAAAAAAGAGAGAAAACAGGCTTTTAAAACAGGAAGATGGATGTTTTGTCAGGTGATCATGGTTGCTGATTATGTCATCATGACGTAGAATGTACACGTACATGTTTATATACACATGACTGCACACGTCAAGCATGCGCACGGGACCGGGAGTCGCAAGTACTCTTCGCGCAGGTTTCTCATGGGAGCTCTCCTTCGTCCAGGTCCGTTGCGGATCCACTGGTTGCCCTGGTGGTGGTGGAGTGGGAGGACGTCCAGGTGGGGAGTGGCCCACCAATCTGCGCACCAGCAAGGGGCACTCCACCCGAGTGCCCGGACTCGCCGTGGGCGTGATCGGTCTCGAGGCAGGGCGACTTTTGGTCTTGCGTCGGGGGGGCGTGGTCTCGCCAAGTCCTGGAGGAAGTGAGAAGAACGAAGTGGATGAGGATTGACAGGTTTGTACCTTTCGTAGCTTCTTGAACCTAGTAGCGATGGCCTCCAACCGACTAGCGATGGCCAATATTCATAGAAGTTGATAGTTGAGCACCCTTCCCCAAGGCTTTGCCCTATATATCAATATCAGAATATCCATCACATTGAAAAATGGGCCGTGATCAGTCTCCTTCTCCATCAGCTTCCCAAAGACCCAAGAGGTCAAAGCCTGTGATCTCCAACATCGTCCCTTGTACGGCCTCATTGCTCAGCACCGGGCTGGGGATCAGCCCCTCGCGTGGCGTCGGCGTCCGGCCACCGGGCGGGGGCGACCGCCGCTCGTGGCCCTTGGAATCCAGGCGCGACTCCCGCGCCAGGCCCAGGTGCGTCTCGGTGCGCGCGATCTTCCGGCGGATCTCATCACGCTTGGACACCGGCCTAGCCAAGACGAGGAACATGCAGCAGAAAGCGAAGAACACCAACAACACGCTTGGGTTTGAAAACAACTCAGGTATATACAAGAAACCAAACGCGAAAACGGCCTTCCCCCCTTCACATCATTCTTCCAAATGATCTGCGGCTCGTAGGTCTGCACTTCGCGCTTCACACGCTCACCTCCTCGACGGCGACCCGACCAGTTGAAGCCTTTGGCCACAAAGGCCTCGAAGAGGGACGCCCGGCGCGTCAGCTCAAAGGGGGACGCTTGCTCCTTGGTCTCCGTCCTCGGCTCCTGGGTCCGTTCCATCCAGCAAGGGAGGTGCCAAAGGAGGCCCCCGCGGAGGCCACCGAAAATGGGTTTGCACACTGGTCAATCACATGGTGCCAAGACCTTGGATGAGACCTTAGCATCCCTTCCTCCGCTTCGCAGAAATCACCGCCCGAACCGCCCTCCCTCCCGACTCGCACCTGGCCCTGGGAGTCGAGTCTCACAGTCGCTTCGTCCTGTGAAACGAAAGGAAGCTACAGCTCAACCTAAAACCCCAGTTCCAACCAGAAACAAGTCTGGTTGTTCCAATATGGCGCCAGCTTGAAATCCTTTACATAGGAAATGGTTGGGACTGGGTTTCGTTGCATCCATTTCTTTCTGGTTGGGACTGGGGTTCCAGGCAGTGACCCGAGCTGTTTGATACCTTTTGGGAGACGTGCCAGTATGTGCCGGTGGTGATTCAAAAGCATGGCATGCGGCCGTTGTTCCCTTCCGCTCTGGAATTCTGTGCATGGGCCTGTTGTAATTCACAGCATTTCTTGTTGAAGCAGCAGTATATGTAGCAATGGTTGGACGGACCAGTGGATGGTTATCCAGCAGGCACCTGTTCTTGGAGAATGTCTTTCAGTTCCTGAAAACGTACCTGGACAGCTGTGGCTCTTTCAGTGTTTTCCTTTTGCGCAAGGACGCCACAAAAACCTTGGCCTACAGGCACGGACGCACTGGTCACCTGGCTCCGACCCACTGCCGAGGCCGAGGCCGAGCTCCCGGTCAGACACCAGCGTGGCAAGGTCGGCTGTGTCGTCGATCCAAAAGCTGCTGAAAGACTTCGAAAAGTTCTTCAAGTGAATTCTCAAGAAGCTACTAGGTTGGAGGCCATTGCTAGGTTGTCGGCCATGAACCAACGAACGCGACGGCCATTGCTACGAACACTTCAAGCGCCTCACGGTGGCGCCCACCGAGCGGATGCTCCTGGCGAGTTGTCCGAAGTCCGAAAGACCTCGCGGGTGGCCGACGCGGGTTGGGCCTCAACAAACACGGAGGTATGGAGATGATGTCTGAAATCTTGAAATCTGAATCTGAATGGTCATGAAAGCATCCAATGATGCAAATCACACTCGAAGAATGTGTAGCAGGTCACGATGTTTTTTTCTTTCGTCTTGTGGCATCAAGAGCAGGCAAATGCTCCGGGGGCTGAGTAGCTCATGAGTAGCTCACCAGTCCCCTGTGTAAGTTCACTCGATGCGCGGTGTGTGAGCTCTCCTCGGCCAACCATGGCCCAGTGAGCTCTGAAAGGAGCTCCTCAACGGGAAGGACATGCTGAGCAAGAGAGAAAAGCGACGGTGGTCGCAAAGGCGGAAGCGGAGACACTTCCGGTCGAAGCATCAAGTTCTCCGACCATTTGTTGGATGCTTCAGAAACGATCTTGGACATGTTCTAAGTCAATGATCATGATCTCTTGTTTCCGGAAGCAAAAGGGGATGATTAAAACTATCCCATCTGCGGGAATGGTCTAGATAAACCGAACGACCTTTTCAAACAAGCCTAGACATTCGACGAGATGTTCTTGACTTGCTTCTATCTTTACAGATTAAAGTCTTCCCAACGAAGAAAATGGCGTGAGAAGATGACGTCAGAAGACGTCTTGAAAGTCTCCTGCAAGTAGTCCGGAACCTGAAACGCGTCCAAGTCCTCGGCCGCTGAAATTCTTCGGTGGCACATAGAGAAAATCAAGTGGTAGAAAGAATGTGTTCAAGAAAAATTAGAAATGGACACCTTGAACGGCGTCTCATCTGAGTTTTGCTCACTCTCTCCACTAAGATTGATGATGAATGCATCAAAAGTCATCAAAAACCTGTTCCAAAGGTTGGTCATCTAAATAGTTTGGTGTCTTTGCTTGGTGCCTGTGATATTGCTGGTCGATTGGTAGGTCATACGGAACGACGAGGCGAATGGAAAGTCCAAGCGTCGGCGCATGGTGGAGCCATGCGAAGTACTTCGGCCGACAGGAAAGGACAGAAGGCTCTCTGTGTTTTTTGGAAAGAACGAGGACAGACTTTTGAGTGACTCTGAGATCTTGTATGTGTGTGTGACATTGAACGTAGGCTCACAGTTCATCCATACTGTAGCCATCAGCCATAGGCCAAAGATTTTTTGAGATTGAAGCTATCGATGCTGTGTTTGGCACACAGGACACAGGACACATCTTAAAAACATGTGCCCAAGGCTTCTGAAGACTTACACGACTTGGGAAACCAATTCAAAAAAACTCCCATCAAACGCAACACAAATGACAGTAGGGTTCTAATGTCCTTGGCACCCACTTAAAAAGATGCACGATCTCTTGATTGTCCCAAGAACGCGGCTGCCGCAAATGGCAGGTTTCAGCCAAGTCTTTGAGCTGAAAGATCTGCGGAATGGCCCCAGAATCCGAGAATCCTGTCTCAAGGCACGGCCTCAAGAAACTGCCTCATGTTTGGCTCGTAGCGTTTGGTTGGTGGATGTCACTGATGTCACAATCTTCCGACCTTAAAACCTCTGAGCCGTTGCCATCCACAGCCATTTCTGCCACCTTCTTTGACGAGCTCGTCGAGCTGGGCGACAGGCTCAATCAGCGCTGGCGCCGGGTGACGACACGCTTCTCTTGGCGTGTTCAAACGACTATCTCCAGGTCTGGGTAGACACACACACCCAGCAATCCTCCATTGTGAACACACTTCGCACCCTTAGGGCATCCCCCAATCATACACCCCAAGGCGCAGTAGTCATCATCCCGGCAATAGGGTCGAGCCGTCGTGCCTGCTGGTACATCCTTGGGGCAGCCCTTGGTGCAATCTGCAGCACAAATACTGCCTTTGCCCAACACGGTGACGGGGGACTCATCGTCCAGGCACGGAGGCTTCCCGTAGTGCGCATGGGATGGTGGTGGAGATGGCGCAGGGCCACCAGCCACCACTGGGTAGGAGGCTTCGGACTTCACACCACACTCCCCGGCCCCCCGGCTTGCCACGCTCCAGCTTCACATAGCCATCTTCACCCCAGAAACTACCCCAGCTGTTCTTGACCAACCAATATGGCCGGCCCCATTCTGTGCCATAACCCACCACCAAGACTCCATGGTCCAATGATGTTCCACAAACCTTGCTGAGCACCCCACTTTTGTAGTTTTGGAAAGCCCTCTTGTCTGCCTCAATGGCTACTGACACAGGCTGCTGAGCTACAGCATCCATCAGGGCCTCCTCATCATCAGCCTCCACATCCACATAGCCAGTGACGCTTCCACGAGGAATTCCAACGGTACAGCTGGAAGAGTTGCAAATTCCACCTGTCGCCGTGTAAGGATAGCTCTGCTCAGTACACACCGCATTTTCCTCTTCGTACTGAAAAGCGTCATCCATGTCACCACCATTGCAGCCTTCGTTCCCAAAGCTGCTGGAACAATCCACCAGCTGCTGCTCCGATAGAGACTCCAACTTACCGGTAGCAATTGCCCAAGCACCTTCCAAAGCGCCTGTACTACCTCACTTGCTAGGAACTTGCTGCTAAGAAGAGGTGCTTTTAGTCTTCTCTAGTAGAACGTCTACGTCGCCAAAAAACAATTTGCACATATTTAAAGCCCAAGTCTCTAAAAGCCCAACAACTGCCACACTGTTCCTCACATTGAAGCGTGCTTTCGATGGTGGACGTCGCCCAACAACAGAAACAGGAAGTGTTCCAGTGTAGACCCCTAACGGAAAAAGAAATTGCAAAAAAAATCGGCCTTTTGCTTGCACGTGTCACAAGTTGGCATGACCGGGAACGGGCTCGCGGGCTGGGTGCTGCGGGCTCGGCGCGGGCGTGGGCTTGGCGCGGGCTCGCGGACTCGGCGCGGGCCCGCGGGCTCTTAGAATGGCACGTGGGCTCGCGCCGTTTTTAATATATTTCTTTTGAGGGGGCACCGTTCCAGCAAATTGAGAACCACAAGCACATGTGGCCCGAGTCGTTCATATGGCAAATGTATGTTTTCAAGCATCTGTGCGCACATGTGCATTTACAAATGCTTTGCACAAGTATATGCATACATGTGTATAGACACATGTACCTACACAAATGCACATTTAGTCACACGCATTTTAAGAGTTTGCAAAAATAGAAGCATATGCACAAGTGCACAAACACACGCTTATGTAATACAACTGGCGCTGATACTCTCGCGTTAATGCACTTGTCTTGCTACTCTCGTGCTCATACTCTTATGTTCAGACTCTTGTCTCTTTATGTTGATTCTACTCAAATTCTACTCTTATGCTGGCACCCTTATCTCAACACTCTCGCGTTGACACTTTTCACTGTTAACTATGTCCTTTTTTACGTTCATACTCTTATGCGCTAATACTCTCGCGCTCAAAATCTGTTATGTTAGTTACTCTCGTTGTGATGTTCCGACGTTGATCCATCCATCGGTGTATGTCTAGCTAGAGTCAAGAGACCCTGTGTAAAGAGACATCTCATGCTTGAATCTGCCGTGAAGAAAAACCTTTCACGAATGGTTTCGGGGAAAGCGTGGTGACTTCCAAGCCAGGCACCCTGGTTAGCGGTGTTTACCAGATATATATATATATATATGTATATGTACAATAGTTATGTACTTGCAACAATATTGATAAAAGTTGATGGATGCTACAAATATATACGCACATATACATCTACACATATAAAAACACATCTGTTCATATACACACACGTATATTCATATGTTGCTATATAGATCTATTTGGTAAAGGTTTTTACATGTAGACTGCTCGCGCGGATCACAGTTGTTTGCTGCACTCTTAGCTTACCTCAGGCTGCAAAGGGTCTACAGGAGCTGAAGACAGACTCTTGTATTGATACTCTCACGCTCAAACTCTATTCTGTTAATTAATCTCGTGGTGATGTTCTCGCGTTCACACACCGGTGTATGTCTAGCAGTCTATTTACGAATGCTCTCGGGGATAGCGCGGTTACGCCCAAGCTGCCCCCTGGTTAGCCTGGCTAGCGGTCGAAAGATCTACTAAAAACATGTCAAAAAGATATATATATATATAAAACAAACGTGCAAAGTACATGTCTACATATGTGTATAAAAAGACACATGCAGCGAAGTAGAGATATAGAGATCATACATGTACACAAATATTTATATATATAATGGCTAGGGTAGTGCACCACGGCTGGCAGAGCCCAGGCCATGCGATTGACATCTTGATATTCCAATGTCGCAACGGTCGCTGGCAGCTGTGTCGCTTGCCGCGAACTGTAAGTGCAAAAGCTGCTGGCTTGCTCTTGGGGAAGGTTGGCGGCGGGCCGGTGAGGTTGTGTGATCGTATTTGCTTCCGGTGCTTGGCTTGTTGGCGGCGGCGCGAAGTGTAAAGTCGCTTCAGCTGTTTGCGAGTAGCATGGGCGGTGTCGTGTGGTTGAGTAGCAGCAGTTGTGAAGCTGGAGTGTGTGGTGGCAGCAAGGGTTGCAACGGTGGTTGCTACCATTCGTCAGGAGGTAGAACGCGTAGCGCTTCAATCCGCACTCCGCACGATTGGCGGGGCCCGGCTGGCCCACGAATTATGTTCCCGCAAGAAATGGCCTACCAATTGTCCCACCTTACTTCCACCACTCTCACCGAGCGGCTTGAAATCGAGCCGGAAAAACTCGGCGGCGATCCGTTTCCGTGATGAAACCAAGTTTCGAAGCCAAATCCATTGCGTCAAAACCCAAAACCAAAAAATTTTCCGGGATCGAATTCCGCTCCATCTGGAAAACCCAATGGTTGGTCTTGATTTCCAATTTGTTGGTCCAAAAGATGCCAAACCAGCTCACAACTACGTGTGTACCACGTGTTTCGCCCCGTTTCGGCTGGACCTTCTCACGGGACCGTGGACCGTGGACCTGACCTCGCGTGGGACGGGACTGCCGCTCCTGGTTCTTCACGGCGGTCACCGCACCTTCGGTTCTCCAGTCCACGGAGCTGGGCAACGAGACGTTCCTCACCACGTGCTTCGATCGACTCGCCGCGCTCGGCTTCCTCGGCTTCATCCCAAAGTGACTGGTCTCGAAGTCCTCGACGCTCATGTCGGTGAAGTATGTAAAGCCCAAAGTGTAAGAATGACCCTTGGAGTTCTCCCGCAGGATATACTCATAGTTGTCCAAAAAGGCCTCAAAGCGTGCCTGCTTCTCCACAGGGTCTTTGTAGCTCTTGCCAAAATCCTGCGGATGGATAAAAAGAGTGAAAAAGCATCACAACACCCACGTTGTTTCAAACCCGGAATTCAAAACCTAGGCCTTCAAACTAGGACGCTACTGGGGGAGGGAAAAAGGGCTTTTGCTTCCACCTCGACTGGCTTTTGTCTTTCGAAAACTCTGGAGGCTCAAGCGGCGGCGTCCTTCAAATATTGCTCAAAGGCACGCTCCACGGGTGTGATCGCAGCCGTCACTGCCACGCAGCACGCGAGGAAGGACACCACGAGAGGAAGAGAGGAACTCATCGGAGGGGAGAAATCCGACGGTGTTGGGAGATACCTTGAGCCAAAGGACTTGAGGAAGTTGTGTGTGATGTAGGGGTGTCAGGAATCGTTCCTGGTGAAACACGAATGGGACCGCCGACATTGCGAAAAAAAAAAAAAAGCAGTGCTTTCATGTACATGACCAGGATGGCTTTGGCTCTAGCTGCTCTAGCTCGGATCTACCTCACATCTTCTGACGCTTCGAATTCCATCGTCCGGTCATGCGGAGCATGACCAAGGACTACAGGAAGCAGAAACTGAGAGACTTGTCCTCCATCTCAAACTCCAAAATCCCCGTGTCGGTTCCAGACCTGCTTGATGTCCGTCGCTTCAACCTGTTGACACTGGGTTACCCCATCCACTCCTTCAACCCGAAAAGGACCTTCTGATCCTGAGAAGAGGCCAAAAGGAACAATAATTTTCATCACCATTAATTTGTTCTTCCAGTCCAAAAAGTCTCAGTGCATCATGGAGAATTGGCCAGACATGGTCTGCAAACCTGTCCGGCAATTGAATAGCAGCAATTCGAACTCCGGAGAGCGAGGGTTCTTAAATCAACAACACAATCGGTTGAGTTAGATGGCCATGTCAGAAAGCATGTTTGCCGAAACAAATCTTTGTATTTTTTAACTCACGATGTGTCCACCACGGTCGCAGAGCGAAACTGTGTGTGTGTGGGCTGATGAGCAGACTTCTCGCAATGTCTGTTCTATATTATTGGGTCGTACACACGCATCTATTTGTATATATTGGGTATACCACCAAGTATGCCATTGCATTAGCTGTCAAACAACAAAGTGCAAATACATGGGGCGAAGTAAGAGCAATGCCTGAGAGCATTACAGATCCACCTTTCAAGACATGGCAGGCCAAAAAAGAATGGTAGCGGAAAAAAAAGCCTTGTCCCTGACGGTGCAAAAGAAACGAACACAGCGCCAAACTGACGGTTTCACTTCAAAGATGTGCAAAACAATAGATACATACAATACATCTGAAAGCCGTAATGTTGGATCCTGATTAGGTCCTCTATAATGCTAATTTTTCCAAATTTATTCAGACCCCCATGTTTGAAAAATGGGTCCTGAATAATGCTAAATTTTTTGGGGCCCTAAATTTCTAATTTGGAAACCTAATCAATAAGGGTTTGAATTCCTTCTGAGGCCAATGATTATGATTCATTAGCTGATATAGCTTTCTCTAGGTTTCTTCAAAACTGACAGCTGACCAAAACCACCAATTCCTAATTAAACCCTCTATAAAACATTGCTCCTAAACAAATTTTCAAGGTAGTAGACCAGGAAGGCACCTGATCCTCAATAATAAATTTGTTTTTGGGTTCTCAATTGTGAAAAGTTTTTTCCACTGGAAAAAGTTGATCATGTAATCTTCCTTTCCTTAGCTCCTGAGGCCAATGATTATGATTCTTTCTAGGTTTCTTCAAAACTGACAGCTTTCTCACAGGAATTCTCACAGGAATTCTCACAGGAATCCAGATTTGTTTTGGTGATAGTTTATTATAGAGGGTCTCCTGTTTGTTTGAGGGGGGGGGCCGTTTACTAATCAGGATCCAACATTGACCCTCGGTCTTACTTCCTTGAACACTTGGACCTCATGGACTTACAGCCTGAGTGTATTGGATGTCAAACCCAGAAAGTTCACACAAACCTGACAACATGCACGTTGGAATGCACAGAAGCAAGCTAACCATGCACTTGCCATGGGCTCTGGAACCGAATCTCACGTAACTCACCCCTTAGAACGCCAGATGCTACATGTTCATCACGAAATGAAGCAGGCCCGGGATGGAGAATGATGAAAGCACGGGGCATGCAACTGTGAGGATAGTACATGTTTGAGAAGAACCTCCTTTAGAAATATTGATAAAGGTTTGAAGTTCATGATTATTTGAGCGGCAAAATCGTTCTTGCGGCTTAGGGTTGCAGTCGCATGTGTGTTGCATGTATCAATTTGAAGTCAGTTTGAGTCAATGATTGCATGCAGATTCTTCATACTGAAGAGACAGTGTAAACATCTGGAGTTTGTGTCATGGAGGCCTCAAAGTGACTAGGGAGAGCGTAAAATGATAGTTTCGCAAAAATGAGAAGTACATGTTGCTTCTTTGTAGCAACACCCAAACTACTTCGGTTTTGAAGAACTAGGTGGATATGGACACAAAACACGACGAAGGACGGAGTGAAGTCAGACAAACAAAAGCAACGAAAAGAAACCGTTCCAACACGAAATCTGCAAAGAAAATCCAGACGTTGTTGTGGAACGGTCGTGTGTATCGAGCTTCCAGGAACGGTCGTGTTGGTGTTTCCACCGTTACTCGCGTATCGACGTCGTGTTTCCACCAGTGTCGTGGAGCGAAATCGAGACAGAATGAGTTTAGGCTCAGCCAAATCCAAAGAACAGCATAGGTGTTTCTGCCTATCACATTGTGAACGAGCAAGCAAGTGTGGAAGCGCGGGCAGATCTGGCTTCTTTCACGCCGAGTTGTTTCACCGAATCAGAAGCAAAGTTCCTATCCCTCAGTTCTGAGAGCACCTCCCAGACCGTTGGAATGTGCCAAAAGACAAGTTGCACCAATCATTGATAGCAGGATGCAACAACATCTGCCATCTCCACACGTCAATTTCCCAATTTCTGCCAACCCTGGGCGAGTCCACGGAAGCAGGACCTCAGCTGGTTTCTGTGATGACTGGAGCTCAGATTCTCAATGCCTTCGATACACCTAATGTTGCCTACTGGCCCATTGATACGACTGGGCCTACCAATCGGCCAATGCAACCAATCGGCACGATGCTCCAGGTGGAGGAACGCTCCTCTGGTTGAAACCGCTGCAAGTATCTTTCTCTTAAAGGATGCGTGTCTGCTGGACGGTTGATTGGTGTCCACACGGGCACGCCCTTGAATAGGCCTCGAAAATAGGCTCACTGTCGTGCAATTGTGCCCATCAAACTCCGACATCAAGGCATTAGGATCATCTGATGAATTCAACTGAAAACAATGATTGTTTTCACATGTGTTCAACTATCACTATCAGCAACTGAAGCGGGATGTGCTACCACATATCCCAGGCACGCATTGCATGCGTGAAGTTTTTCGTGTCCATTGTGAACCTTCGCACGAGACAGAGCTACGAGACGGAAGAGGATTGATGGACATCAACAAGGGTAGCGTGTAAAAGAGAATTGTGCAATCACAGACGGATCTGGTCTAGCAGGGTTTGAGACAACTGTAAGTTCGCCTAACACATAAGCCGTGCCTGTGGTAGATGCCCTCAGGCAAAACAATGAGATCACCCGCGCTTAACCTGATCCGAATCCACCGATCCTGCATTGTTGTATCGGTTCAAACGGAATTGAATCCAAAACAAGAAACCAAAAAACATTGTCTTTTCACCAATGTCTGTATATTAATTAAGAAGAGATAACTAAAATTCCATCCTTTTTCTTCTGCCACAAGAAAGAGACTTCCTTGCTTTCGCTGCAACAGATGCTCCTTCAGATCCCGTACATCAAAGTAGCCACTGCCCTTGAGAATGTATCTGACTTCCTGCATCACTGCTGGACTTTAAGCAAAGATTGGGGAACGTGAAACCTAAAAAAAAAAAGAACTCTACTAGGGGCTCCTGGCCTTACTACTAGGAGCAAGGCCTCGCTACGATCGGAGCGATCGGACGCTCCTCACCGAAAGAGACCGTCGAAACACAGCGTCTCGGATGGATCTCAAAACATAGCACCTCGTCTGAATGAATGTGTTCTTCGAAAAATGCTTTCAGCTTGTTGTGGTAGTCCGGGAGGCACTCCTCTGCTTTGAAGGGCAAGATTCACGAAAGCAAAAGCAAAGGCCCTTGATTGGGATCTCTTCAACAAAAACAGGTCAAATACAAGAATTCACAAACATGGAAATTGGCCTTGAGATCAGGAAGACACGACTAGTCTACGCTCCTCTGAGCAAGTGATGATGTCGGCATAGTTGTACCCACGAGAGTCTCGGATGGCTGCCAGTTGCTTGTCCTAGATGAAGAATTCGCTGTTCAAACATACGATCCGAACAGCCACACATCTCAAAGCATGGCAAAGCGTCGTAAACAAATCGCAACGGTCCTGGATTCCATTCTTCGGTTCCCAAGGAACCGCCTTGGCCGGGTAATCTTCAACTGGAGGGAGATGCCAATGGATTACACCAAGATCACGTAGGTCGGAGATCGTCACCTGTCAGACAGCTGACCATTGGTGAAGTGCACATTGTTCGACCCTTGGCTGCATCATGTTTGACTCTTGGCTGCGCACCGGTTCATTTGGATCCATCCGGTTCTCAGCAGTCTGATCGACAACATTGTTGCCCTCAGCATCAGAATCAGTTCCCCTACCAATTGGATCAACCTCCTGAGAATGATGAGGAAAAAGGGAACAAAAAAAATCATGCGAATGCCAACCAAGCTGCCATGTACCATGCCTCAATAGACGTCATTGCAGGAGGACTTTCAATTGGTGGTTCAAAAAACGTTGATGCTGCTTCAAAGTTGCACTGCCTGTCAGAGTACTTGCCTTGTGCCAAATTGTTGACAAAGAGAATTTGAGCAAAACTGGAGTGTAGCAACATTAATTTTTACATCATGAACAATACAAGCAAGCGATTAAACACAGGACAGGCTGGCTCCGAACAATGGTCAGAAGGATTCGGATAATGATTTTGAAGACTCCACCAACTACCAGAAGAATTACACCGGCATAGACTCCAAATACCACCCAACTTTGAAAACAGCATCACCCGAGACAAACTAAACGACTGATGGCCCGACAGCGTCCAGGTGTAGGGTTACTTGCACTGCGATGAAACAGTGCTAGGCAGCAACTTTCTTTTGAACCTGGGCGCTATGGCGGTCACGCTGATATGAACAGATACTACACATCCAAGTGACTCGAATCTCTACACTATACTGTGTCATCGATACGTGTACTCTAGGGTGTAAAAGGTTAACACCCCGCTTGAAGCTTGATGTGACAAATCAGAGCCCCACTTTTCATTGTACACTCCTTCATTTGTAGAATCACCCACCATCTGCTAGGTGGAACTGAAACACGTTTTCTACAAATTGGTTCGGCTATCATGTATAGCCACCGTTCCGATGTATCCTTGTACACTATTCCAGGTACACGCATCTTCAAACAACGCTGCATCACCAATGTAAATTTCACCTGAATTCTATCGTCGTGTATCGTGGTTCAGATGTTGCACGATACTTCAACCCACTGTTGGATGCCTGTGGTTCAGATGGTTTCACAGGTCATCCAAATCAAAAGAAAGGTATTGTAAATTCCATCATAAATCAATTGTTGTTGTCTCCACCGTTCGAACTGCTTGCTTCATCTTCGCTGCTAAAATGACGTAGCTCTTGTCAATATTCCGGATCACTAACCTCTTCAATTTCTTCATCTTCAGTTTCATTTGCTGCTTCATCATTTTGGCTTTGCTCTGTTGTAGGCATAGGAAGATTTCTCCCTGGAACATTGCTTCATCGAAATATCCATCTGCTTCATCAAGCTCTTCTCTAAATTGTGAATCCGCTGTTGCACCTGTCAAACCACTCGATGCGGCTGCTTCTCCAACATAATAGTGTGTCGCAATGCTTTCGTTCTCTGGCTCTTCTTCCTCTTCAATTTCTGGTCCTGCTGCTGAACCTGAATCTGGCAAAAGATCTGTCATTCCACGACACATCATATGGGCTCTTCTCCGCACACCTTCACTGTGGCTTTGTTCCAAAATTCCTAGTCGCATTTCTAAAATGTCTCTTCTGTGATTGTACCGTCTCAATGCATTGTGGTCCATCTGCTGTCCACGACATTGCATGCGTCTGTTCACCCTTCCAAGCATGAAATACAAAAAACCACTCTGGCGACCACGGATCCCACCTTGGAGGTGGGCCAACAGGGATTGGTGAAAGCTTTGGTGCCCTTGGAGGCGGTCCTCTCGGTGGCGAAGTAGTTGGGGGTATTGGACCCGTACTCGCACTGGCCTGTTCGCCAGCTGGTACCTCCAACTCCTCGACTTCCACACCTGCGTCATTGTCAGGAATTTCAGATTCCCACTTTCTCTTTCTGCCCCGCCTGTCTAGCAATGCTTGAATCACATCCCGAGGTGAAAACACGAAATTGCACAATGCAATGACCATCAACACCACCAATGTCAATGCAAATTGTTGCCAACCGTTTTCAACTGCTTCTTGCGGTTTTTGCTCATCTTTCTCCATACACCCTTTCAAACCAAACACACTCAACGCCATCGCCACTTGCAAAATTCCTTTGCTCGACTTGCTTTTGGCCAACTTGCCAATTCTGCGAATCTGTGCTTTCAATGCCTCTTCTGTCGTGTGTTTGATGAACTCTGATTCACCAATGCTTTCTTGCGATCCACTCTCTTCATCAAACTTGGTTGCACCGAAAAAACAATAGAAATCGTTTTCTAGCTGCTGTCAACTTCTTTGTATTCAAATCACTCACGTTCAGCTTTGTTCCAATAGGCACCACTTCCAAAACTGGTTTCCTGGTTCCACTTTGCAACCAACACACTCGTGTAACTCCAATCTTTGGAATACTATGCTTGACCGAAGTGGCCTCATTTGAAGCATGGCATCTCGGCTGCAGAATTTCTCGCACGAAGGTTCACAGGACTTTGACTGCTGCGAGTATGCTGAACAGCCATTTCTTGTGGAGATCACATGATGACGTGATGATGACGTACTGAGTGCAAAGGCTGAATTCATCGCCCCCCGTCTCACCTCTCTCAACTGGCTGACATGGCCGACTCGAGTTACGAACCTGGTTTGTTTTTCTGGGGTTCGGTGTTGGGGTGTTTGGTGTTTCGTGTGTTTTGGTTCGGTGTTGCTTTGCTACTTGGTTCGTAACTCTCTCTTCACTAGCCTAAGGTGACTTGCGCATCCTCTGCACACATAGCGCCTCGACCCGTGCAAAAAAAAGGTCGGACTGGAGACGGTGGTCCTGCAAACTTGTTTTGTTCTCTTCCTGTACTTCCACTCCAGCTGGTCCTGCGCGGCGCAGGAACCTCTCAAGTTCCCTGTCCCCAGTTTGCTGCCCCCAGTTCCCTGCCCCCCAGTTCCCTGTCCCAGTTCCCTCCCGAGTTCGCTGTCCCCAGTTCCCCGTCCCAAGTTCCCTGTCCCCATTTTGCTGCCCCCACGACAAGCTTCCGAAAAAGAACAAAACTGCTGATCTCAGACAGAGCTGATCTCAGACGAAGCATTGAGAAAAAACAACCACCCTGCTCAATGTTAATGTCCCAGCTCAAGCTTCCGGAAAAAAAACGAAACTGCTGATCTCAGACAGAGCTGATCTCAGACGAAGGAAGCATTAAGAAAAAAAGCAGGCACCCTGCTCAATGTTGGTGGTATCAAAGTCAAATCAGGAAGCATGAAGTCAAAAACGCCGCCCTCAAAAGATGTAGCATTCTATCATTAGTGGTTAAGTGAAAAACGCCCGCCCTCAATGTTGAATTAACAAAAGCTTGGGTTACAGAACGCTGCCAGAACATCGTCTCCTGCAAAGCGGCTGACTTGGGGCCATCATTGAGGGCGGCGTTTTCACTGAACCCCTAATGATTTGATGTTGTGTGTTTGAGGGCGGCGTTTTTTCACTTCATGCTTCCTGATTCTACTTCAACTGTGCAAGCCCTCAAGTCGCTGATCAAGACCTACAGGTGGATCTCAGACGAGGCTGATCTCCAACTATGTAGAACCTCAAGTCGCTGATCAAGACCTCCCTGTCCCTTTGCTAGCCCCCAGGACTTGAGCCTCTTCATAGTTGGAGATCAGCCTCGTCTGAGATCCCCCTGTGGGTCTCAATCAGCGACTTGGTTCACATAGTTGAAGATGCCCCTTTTTTTTCCACGAGTACGGACGCCGTGTGGGCATGGTGCCCAGGTCATCGTTGAAGGGAGGGAAGAACAGTCTGATGGTGGAGAAAAGAACAAGGAAACCCAACACCACACAAAACCAACAAACACCACAACCAAGGGCCCACAGGCCGTGTCTCCACCATCATGTAGTCTTTCCTCTGTGCAAGGTGAAACATGTGAGACGAAAAAGAGTGTCTAAAAGGGGGCCTGAATTAACGAACGAAAAGCATATCGGCGCAGGTTTGTGCTCAAGCAAAGTCGCAAAAAGGCTTCAAAGGGACCTCACTTCACCTTTATGAGTGACCAACGGCCACACCCCAGTGCGGCAAAATCATGGTCACGATGCAATTCTCCACTCAAATACGGGGTATCGCAACGCTTCAACGTCGATTGCATCCCTGGCAAGTGGGGTGGCGTAGCTGTGCAGCATGCCGTGGAAAAGACCTTTCTTGTGGCACAACCCGTTCAACCGGTTGCACTTACAAGTCAAGTGGCATGCTACCAATCAACAATCAATGAGAGGCGGCCATAATCGACGAAAGCCTGCAGGTGATGGTGCGAAGAGACCCCCCCCGAAGGGAGGTCAGTTCAGCACTATTTGGTACTCACAGGTACCAAATAGCAAACAGAGTGGGGTGTCTTCCAGGTTTACGAAGCGCTGCACCGTTGCAAAAGTTAATCGGCTGCATGCAAGGCCCGTGTGAAACAGGTGAAACAGGTGAAACTTTGGACAATCCTAGCATGGTATCTGTACTTCTTTGTACAAAATTGGAAATGTCGGACATCAACAAAGGGAACTAAGGTTCCCCCTGGGCATCCGCCATTGCCACTCTCTACCACCCGCCTGTTAGGAACGAAGAGCTAAGGCTCTCACTCCTATTGGCTCACAGCAGTCCGAATGGCGAAAAGAGGTTGGTCAGTGCTTGCGCATCTTGCTTGCCGCACTCTGCTGTCAGTCAGCTTGTCCCCCATTCCAGTCACAGGTTCACCGGCTCTGTCTGGTCTGGTCCTTTTTCTTCCCTGTGACAACTGGCATCTGTCGACAGCTCCTAGCATTGCCTGGACTAGACGGGTTATCCAGTTTGTTCAGGGACACTGGTCTTTGGCAATGTGCAGTTTATTTTCGTTTGCTTGCCCCTAGCCTCGCCATGATACTCTTGAGTAGAACTTCCTATGCAAGGGTACAATTGCGATGTTTCTCCGCTCCCCTCTGGAATTTGCCCTGTCATGATCGTTGACCTACCTTGGACTCACGCTAAGGCGCGTGCCCAGACTCTTGACGAGTACCTACGATGCAGCGCTCGCTGCAACCAAGAAAAGAGTCTTGTTTTCATCCAAGACCAGGGGTGTGCCCCATGTCCGGGATCATGTGCAGCCAAGGTGGCCATCGCATAGCAGGACAAATGGCGAAAGCATTCTCTTCTGCATAGACTCCTCGCCATTTATGCCTTCCTGGCATCTTGACAAGCCTACTAAAGACAGTGCAATCTAGGAAGGCCCTACTTCCTATGTACCTCAGCGAGGGCGGAATGGCAAGCTCCACGAGAGCTGCACAGTTCATGAAAGCTTTGACTCGGATTGTGTGAAGAGTTATCGGAAGGAGGACTTCTTTGAGACTAGTGCAGTGCACAAAGGCGAATTCCGGAATTTCCTCAACCTGGGTGTTGCAAAGGTCTATATTCTTAAGCAGTCGGCAACTGTCGCATGCATGCGCTCCGAGAGTTACAAAATGCATTGGGAGAGCAAGTGCAGTGATTCCTGTGGAGCTGAGGCAGCCCGGCGTTAACTCACTGACCCTAGCTTGCAGTACTGACTCTCGGGGAGATGGAAGCTCACTTAAGGTAACCTCAGCAAGATTGATACAGCCTTGAAAGAGGTATTGCCCTAGCTTGGCTTCGCTATTGAACACATTTGCAATCCCTTCCGATGCATACACCCATTGCAAGGAACAACATTCCGCAAAGGCTTTATACCCAAAGTCTAGGCAACCCGGAGCCGCGACGCTGTTTAGTAGTTTGCAATCGCGGAAGACATTATCGGAAATGCCTACTACTGTGGCAGGCAGTTTAACGATGCGGAGCTGCCGACAGTTTTGCCAAGCCTCTGCCTTAATGAACCTGATACCTGACTCTACACTGACATGTCTCAAGCGTGGAACCCCTGCAAAGGCCCCTTCTGGGACACTTCTCTCTGGGTTCATGGGGACATGAACTGCTAGCGGAATGTGATGGATAGGGCAATCCTCAAGTTCTACCTGAGATGGCAGGATAACACTACAGTTTCGAAAAACGATAGTGTATTCCATTCCTTGCTGTAGCTTGTCCCAGATTGGGTCCTCTAGGTAAGTCTGTGTGGCAGTTTGCAAAAAGTCAATGCAGCACCCAAAAACTTTGAGATCAGTAACAGAAACGAGATAGTCCATAACCTGCTCTTCTAGATCTTCAAAGCGGTCAAACTTTGCAACACTGAGAGAGACCTGGAAAGTCTCTCCCGAAAGCGTAGTCAGCAGCAGGGAGTATTCCATGACCGGCTCCTTTTCAGGAGGGGTGCTAATCATGGATGAATCATCAAATTCCATGTGCGACAGGCTATTTGCAATGATTGTTTGAGCCAAAGGTGTCTGGGTCTGCGCGTGGGCTGCTCCCAAGGCCTTCGAAACTGCAGACAGATGCTAAGGCACCCACCTAGAGTCTACCATGGGCTGGCGTGATATTGGCAATATTCGTGGTTGAGTTCCTCGTCAAAGGCATCCGAATCAGGTCCTTCTGCAGGGAGCAGCTCAACCCACTGGGGTTTTTCAAACTTGTCACACATAAAAAAGGCATTGTGCTCTGCTTGTACCCACTGTTCAATGTCACCCCAGTCCAGGGGGGTGAAACGTTGCAGCTGCTCACACCCACAAAATGCACGGTTGCCTATATCCCTGAGCTCCGTCGGGATGACAACTTCTTGCAGTGCCACACAATTCAGAAAAACTTCTTTGCCAATTAGCGTGAGTCGTGGCGGGAGCCATATGCTGTTTAAAGCGACACAGTGGGCAAATGTGGAAGAAGGGAGGGCTGTGATCTCTGTGTCCATGAGGTTGACCTCCACAAGGCTTTTACAATTTTCACAGGCACGCGGCCCGATATTGTGGAAGTCACTCGGCAGGCAGAGCTGTTCAATGCATGCGCCGCAGAACGCCCCTTCAGGCAGTCCTCGAGGTTTGCTAGTATGATCCA